GTATTATATCTTTATGAATATATTACATCAACTGAGTGCTACGTAGGCTCTCCCGTTTTCATTAACCCGTGAAACACACTTTAGCGTATTTATCGCTATTACACTTTGGCTCTTTTGTTTTTTATTGTCTCTACGCAACTATTACGATCTATTACACTCTAATTATTACACTTTGTTTCACGGGTTTATGAAAACCACTCTATTGCAAATAAACAATGCATATAGCCAAATTTTTCATTTTTCAAATAATCAAGAATAATAAAAAGGTGGAAAAAAAGGAAAATCGCTACAAAGACACTCAATTTCATCATATACTCTACTTCTTTAGACATGACATATACAAGAGCCAATACAGAGCAATGTTTGTCATGAACTGCAAAGTTGTGACAAACGAAATACTAAGATACAAAGAACAGAGACATAAACACAGAGGGAAACTAAAAGGAAAGTTAGTTAATGCTGCTACAGAAAACCAGCAAGAGGAAAACACAACRGACAGTGAAATATACAACCCAGTAAAATGCAGCGAATGTGGAACTGAAGTTGCTGTCTTTGATTGTGACGAGGTGTATCATTTCTTTGATGTCCTGTCAAGTTATGCATAAGCATGTATGCATCGTTTGATAATAGCTAATTGAAGGAGCTCAAAGACAAYGTGCTAATAAATTATTGTTTTACAGAAGAGKTCTTCTAKTAATCAGGCCAATTCTGCTGACCAAATGCACTAGATAGATCTATGACAGGATGTTGCAATTATTGATGGTTGTCAACCAAGATAAAAGACCGGCGGCCACATTGGASGAATGAACAATGGATACTAATGAGAAATCCTTTGTTGAAGTTCCTCCAAGATGGCYSCTGTGACGTAACCTGCAAATGAAAAAAATTCTTTGTAATATTAAAATAAGTAATAACAGCCTAACTAAGCAGACAATAACTATTTTCTTCAAGAAAATCTTTTTATACAATACTAAAATATTTAAAAATGAATTCTAAATATGTGTGTGTGTCTTCTAAAAAAGCTCAGCTGGGAAAATTGTGGACAAAGTTATCCACTGAATTATTACTAGTGGATACTGTTTTTGACTGGATTATAACCTAGTGGATAGTTATATCCACACAGTAACAATTGTACAACCATCACAAGTCAATGTAACTAACTACACATGTACATCCTGTTGGGTTTCCTGTGCATGCAATGCAACATACTACATTTTTTTAGTTTTATAAATCTTCTTTTCTCCAAGTCCTGTTGATATCATCCATTTGAGGTTCATGGCCTTTWAGGTATCCAACAACAGGATATTTCTGCATGTAAACATTTTGAAATGTGTCTTCCAGTCGRTTGAATTCCTCTTGGCTGAGATCATCCTTGTGAGAAAAAATACTTGTGTGAGAAAAAAATTTCAAACAATCTACTTACTTGGCTGCTAAAGATCTGTATATTCTTAGTGATACAAATATTTTTTTTCATGTGCCATGGACATATCCTGATTATTTTAGAACTGTGAGATGATGGATACCCTGATTTTCAGACGGGGCCTGGGTCCTACGCTCACTCCACCAGTGGGAAAGTGGGAATGGAGTGAAGTGTAGGACCCAGGTCCCGTCTGAAAAYCAGGCTAGATGATGGATAGACTTTCACAAAGTTCCTTTTAGCCTCACTTTTTTTTTCTCGCACTTCGCGCTGGGAGTTCTATTCTTTCTTTTCCTGAGTCCAAAGAGAGTCCGACTTGTAGCAAGTCTAGATGATGGAGGGCTGTCCTWCTAAGCAACAAACTCTAGGCCCCCTCTCCCATCCTCTCCTTTCTTTTGTTCTGGAAGCAGCCTACAGGCAGGTAACTTGCCATGATCTTGTTTTATGACAGTGAGTGTACTGTCCCCACAGTCCAATTCATGTTATCATGACTGYACTTCCCATCATGCTTTGTTCTAGAAAATGGTGGCGCTGCACACACCTTTTTATATACCGTGTAGTTCCTTTGAGGATAAAAATGATATTTCCAGGCAGTCCGAAAAATACAAGTGGACGTTTTTTAGCCCTTAGCAGGAAGTGAGCTTATTCTCTTAACTTATTGGAAAACAGGCCTACAGCTGTAGGATGATAAAAATTGATTTTTGATCAAAAGCAACTCTAAATTACAGAAACGTGTGGACATAAATGTAACACAATTTTGAAAAAGCATGAATAAAAAGAAACGAAGGGAAAAAAGTTAAAAATTACATATAGCAGAGCGAGGTTTCGATCCTCGGACCTCTGGGTTATGGGCCCAGCACGCTTCCACTGCGCCACTCTGCTGTCATATCAATTTCACAGCTGAATTATATCAACAAATCAACACTTACAATATTCCCGTTCAAGTTACTTGAGTCTAAAGATCGTTTTGCTATTGCCCTTGATGCATCTTTACCGGTCAGAGGATGATAAGCTTTTCCAGGACTGTACAAATCTATTTGACAACAAATCAATACAGTAAGCTTGAATATTTTAGCAGTCAACAATCATCTGTGACACAAAAAGTTAATGCWAAAGTTTACCTTTTTCTTCGCTGACATCAAATACAACCCCTTTCACAGCTGCATAGATGGGTAGATCTGGCTAAAAACAGGGATAAATAAGTAATGCAGAAGTTAAGCTGTAGGCTCTCAAACCGTACACTTAACTTACGTTTTTTCCATCATATTTCGACAATTCTTCGACGGTGAAAGTTTTGTGCTCAGAATCCCGTAGTTCATCATGAAGGTCACCAAACGTCGAATGAGGTTGCCTGTCCTTTATCTCGACAGCARAGCCTGTATTGAGAATAGCTAATAAAATCACGGTGTAAAAGTTTGCTATCCGTCCCGCCATTAGAGGAAGTCGGACCACTTCGACCTATGACAGTCGGAAGGAGCATGGTGACTAGTGTTTACATCTGGCTAGCACATACAACAATTTTGATCGTCCTCATTTACCGATTTTAAAACAAAAGGAAAATGATTTTGATTCCTCAAAGTTTTGGATTCCTACATTGTGGAAAATCTYGATGCTGTACAGACTTCGTGTATCTGGATGATTTATTCTAAGATTAAGATAGGTACAAATTGGACTCCCTGTGTAAGACGTATTGTTTGCTCCTTTTCCAAGAAGTGAAAGAACAKACGGTTCGGTAGGGAAAGAACGCGATGGAGGTTTTAAATCACGAAAGGGCTAAAAGATACATTCAAAGCCAAGACGATTTTTGTAAAAGTACTAGTTTCAACAAGATAAGGCCATTCTTCGATGGAGAATCGTTAAGTAAGAGAATGGACCAAGTCAGAGATGGAATAATCTTCATCCGAGAAAACTGGAGTCGTTACAATGATTTCGTAGAACTGGTCCACAAATATATCTCCGAAAATGTCGAAGATATTGAGGCAAAGACCATGATGGAAAAACTTCTGGAGASAAAAAAAGATTGGGCACAATCCAGTGAGGATGTCGACATGGATTTTGGAGCAGTTCGATTGTACACCTCGGCAAAAGGTTACGATGAAATCTTTTCGTTAATCAACCGTGTCTTCAGAGATGTTGGCTCYACCGCTGATCAAAATCTGATTATAACAGCAGTATTTGTTGTTGAGCTGATAAACATTGACCTGTTTAATTACTGTTTAACTAATGACAGATTTGCCAACTTTACTGGGGTCGTATATCGCGGAATGGCGATCAAGGAAGACGATATGGAAGCTTTCGAGGTTTTGCGAAGTAAAGACATTCCAAATCGCTACATTGCTACTCCACTCAGCCTCTTATCGACAAGCGTGAGTCTCTCAGAAGCAAAGAAATTCATCGAAAGAGAAATGGAATTTCGCGTCGACAGTAAACCGATTTTAATGACAATCCACGTCATAGAGCTAGAAAGTAAATACCTGGAATACTACAAGAAGAGATTTCCGTCCAGTGTGGTGAGCACTATATGTGCGGTAGACATCCAAGGCCTCTCTCATTTCTCCACGGAGAAGGAAGTGCTTCTTAGGGGCCCTTTTTTCCAGGTACTTGATTTCTATGACGGGGATATCATCAAGAACCAAACGTGTAAAGTTTTGGAAATGGTTATGTTGAATACCAATCGGGATCACATTAGTACCATGCAGCTTGGCCAGGACAGTACGCCGGCTCGACAGCTTTTTGGTAACATGGTGGCAGCAAGTAGATGCAAGTTTGCCATAAGATACTACGAAGAGAAAGGACAAGATAGCCATGCAGAAGATTACAAAAAACTGCTGAAAGAAAAACTAAATAAACTGGAAGAACTTATGAAAGTGTAAAATCATAAGAACGCCAAAACTTTATCTACGACAAGTGGTGCACTATTTGTAAACTTTTTTTATCATATAATTATCTATGAAATACCTATATTTCTCCGTTACGTAAAATTGATATTTTCACTAGTGAAAATAACATGTTATTTTCACTTTCACTAGTGAAAATATCACATTCGAGGTTTCTCTCTATAGTGGAAGTAAGAAAAAAGGTATTTTACGACATAATTTGCGTTCATATCCAATTATATGTGAAACAGAATATTACATGGTCGCTTGGAGATACGAATTTTATCTTCTCGTGTTGAAAATCTTTTCAACGCTCGAAGATAAAATCCGYATCTCCGTGCGSCCATGTAATATCCTCTATATCACAATGCAAGTCCATTACATACTGCATTCGATACGATATACAGTTTAAGTCCGTTATGTAGTTTGATCAGAAACTTAAATAGTTGTAGTTTTCTTACACCCTACTTATTCAAAACYACTGTTTGTCTTACTCGTTATACCACTTTCTAAAATTGAAACCTAGAACTAATAACTAGAGTATATAGAACAGAGAAAGAAAGATCCTGAAAGTATCCAGGATTCASCATTGTAAGGAGTCATTGCATACAAAGTTATCACTACTACGTTATATGACATCACAATGATGTCATAGAAACCTATTGTTACGCAAAAACAATCGTGGAGAAGTAGAGAAACCCAGACAATCTTTTAAAGTCAAGTCTAAAAGAATTTTCAGACTACRTCAGCTGTCGGATTTCTATTTTTTTAATTTCTTTTTAACTATTTCTATAACTTTGAAAGGAAGATCATGGTCACCCTTCTACCTCCCTCTAAATACGTCCCTGTAATTGAACGTAGAGAAGCTCATGCAAGCGCTCTCAGAGCGTCTAATTAATTTATGTTTACAATTGATCAGATTTATTGAATAGCAAGAGTACTAGTACTGAAGGCACTTTTCAAACATGACTTGCTTTTCTTGGATGTTTATTTCTGTCTTACTACTGAGCTTCTCCGTGTCATGGCATGTCGTTACTGCAGCTTTATTCCCAKACATGGAGAGTTTGGCATCTTACTCACCGATTAATAGCAGCACAACATGTGGGACACCAGCGATTAAAGTTTGTCGATCGTCGATACAATCAAGTTCAATAGACAATTGCACGGAAGATACTTGCAAATTTGCCTGCTGCGATTCTTGTAGCAGTTCCAAACCTARTTCAACTGATCTGGGTAAAGTTAAACCTAGCACCGTAGTAGGAATTACAAATGGGCCACCAAGACCAGGATCTGCAGAACAATCGTTTAGTTTTGATTCCTCGTCTGACTCTCATATGGATCCCCTCAATCTTGGACCTTCCATAGATTACAAGAAATTAGGTTTTACAATTAGTSTTTGGATCAAGCAAAAAGATGGCAACAAAGGGTGAGATATATTCTTGTTACCGAGTCAAGATCCCATTATCGTGGCTCACTTGTAAATACACGCATCAACAAAGTCATTTGCACAAAAATTTGTTTTACATGTAACTAGACTCCAGCTCAAATGATTGCAAGCTTTAACTTGCAAAACATTTAAAAATGCAAACATTTAGAAATTAAACATTTAAAAATGTTTTGTCAAAGTTTTGAAACTTGAGGTTGAATGATCTTGCAAAATGACTACAAATGTGTGCATGCAAATAACTTTGTTGCTGTCTTTTCGTCTTAACAACTGAACAATGTTAATGTATTGACTGTGTATATATTATGTATAGTTTACAACATGAGCGGCCGTGTTGTATGGGAATTACAATCTCGAGCCGCAGRCGAGAGATTGTAATTCCCATACAACACGGACGCGAATGTTGTAAACGACTTATAAAACTCCTACACAAATTAACATGAATTACAGTGAGATAAATGAAGAAAAATGACAAATAAGGTAACTGCTGAGTTTAGTTCCTATTAAGCATGCGCAATTTACTGCAACACAGAACATTTTGAATAATTATCCATCCCACATGGAAAGCAAGCCATCTGTTGCATAAGCGAGTTCTGTTATCCGTCTTTGAATGCTTCAAAACCTGGTGAAGGTCTATGATGCGACACTAAAACTGAGACCTTTGCTAGTGTTGGGTTGTCTCAATGGTGACGGCCGTGTTGTAAATCTGATACAACCACAACCAAATACAAAGAAATGTATGGAGAACTAAAAATGAGTTTACTCGCTCTCTAGATCAAGTACGCCTTTCAAATTTTGCCAGTTAACTCCTTTTTGCAGTATCTAACGTTTGCAATTGATAATTCTTTCGGAATTTGAATTCAGCGAGAATTATTTGACATCKATTTCCCGGTCATTCCTTGTTATTTTGCGACACTTTGCCTACCGGAACAAAATGGCGGCCGAAACCGTCACCTCATCTATTCGTTACTCTTTAAAAAATTAAGATAAAGTGTACAGAAACAGATAACAAATTTGCTTTTTAATAGCTTTAAAAGATACTTAGAGCAAGGGCTTCGCTCAAAAGACTACACGTTTTGCATAACATTCTACCTTATCCTCGCTCCCAGGGTTACAAAGTATTTACACATGTACAGTGTGTAAATATCCTGTAAGTGTCCTAAACTATGTAAATATCTTGTAAATGCTCACTTCGGATTTCACGATATGTACACCTTATTGATAAAACATTTATTCTATTCTTTTTTTTTAAAGAACATTATTTTCCAAGATAACACCAAACTCAAACAATTTGAAAGTTGTCTATCATCTGGAGATTGAGAATTACAAGATTTGGTTCCATTACCAGTATGAACCACAAGGCAATACATCAACAATTCCACTTGTTCCTCTGCAAAGTCAGAGTCAGCATCTCAAACCCAATGAGTGGCATTTGATTACAGTGACTGTAGTTAGTAAATACCTGTCGTATTTTATTGATGGGAAATTTATTAAAGCTGCATC